GAATAGACGCAGCCAAAGTCCAATTACGTGCAAAAACACATTGTCAACACTTATTTCTGCAGCCATCTCCAATTCCCCAGGAGGTTCCATCAATCCAGCGGCAGTGTGATATTTCAGATTTGGCCATTTTACATCAGAAAAGCTCATCTATCATACAGTGTAATACATTCACTGACATTAATCTAGCTAACATGATGTACACAAAGCTAGAACACAAAGCTCACAGACACCAAAGACGAACCCACAGACACAGTTAACATGCATGTTTTGATCTAATCTATACTGACCCGACAGAGTGTGTGAAGACACCTGGGGACACTTTTTAATTAAAAAACCTCTCCCATAGAGCAGAAAGAACACCTCTGTGATGCAAGGAGAAAAGTCTGAATCCCTACATTGACTGATGGATGAGAGTTGAATGACATACTCTTCCATTTCTCTCAGCGTTTCTAAAGTAAAGCCACTAATGAACAAAGACAGGTTAATGGTCAGTCACTGACCTGTAAATTGTTCAAATTGACCAAATGTCTCCACTCCAGGTGTGAAATCATCAGCAATTATTTGTTTCATGTAGAATGATTTTACACACTTAGCACGGTCTTCTAGTTGCATTACTAATCCTTTACAGAAGTCACCGCTTTCATCAACCTACTATTTGCAGTATATCCAACACCACATTTAGTAAAAGCTTTAAAGCATGTCAGCTACACAGTGACAGACTTGTTGAAACACAGAACAGAAATGAAACCAGAACAGATTGGAGAGGTGAACAAAACAAGTTCCCCTCATAACGGCCAATTAAAAAAAATTGAAGAATTAGTGTAACTAAAATACAAAAAATATAAATTTATGTTTACTGCTCTATTACATTACTTGATTTTATTTTTATTTAGTAAAAAATATCTATAAAAAAACACTTAAAAAAATTGCAATACTTCTGTTTTAGCCTTGTAGCTATATTTTGTGATTTGTGGAAAAAAAATAAAAATTGTTGCACTTGAGGACTTATGTTGAAACTTGCAACATTTAACTTTATTCTTTATAAAACATTTCCTGTTTTGGTTTGTCAGTTTGCTTTGACATTTTTAAATAAGTAGTTTGACTTACCTGCTTCTTGCGGACCCCACCTGTCCACCAGGTGGTCTCAGATTGTCAAATTTAGAATATAAGTCAACATCTTACTTCTAAACAACAAAGCCTTTAACAACCTAGCTCCATCTTATATTACAGATCTTATTGTTCCATATTTTCTTAACGGAGCACTTCGCTCTCAGACTGCAGGCTTACTTGTGGTTCCTAGAGTCTCCAAGAGCAGAATGGGAGGAAGATCTTTCAGTTATCAGGCTCCTCTCTTGTGGAACCAACTTCCAGTTTCTGTCCACATTGTTCAGTTTTAAGACTGGGCTTAAGACTTTACTTTTTGGTAAATCCTATAGTTAGGGTTGGCTTGTTATGCTGCTATAGGCTTAGACTACTGGAGGACAAATTGAACACATTTCTTAAAATTAATTGTTGAAACTGAATAGGTTTCATTTGATATTATTTCTATCTTAACATGTGATTCTCGACCTGACAATGTGTATCTGTTCCTCCTTCCTGTCCCCTCAAACCCAGCCAGTCGAAGAAGATGGCCGCTTGTCCTAAGTCTGGTTCTTCTGGAGATTTCTTCCTCATGAGGGAGGTTTACCTTTCCACTGTCGCCTTCATGCTTGCTCAAGATAAGAGTCTGTGATGGCGTTAAATTCAAAGCAGTCTGCTCCTCAGAAAAATAGTGTTAACTTACTTTCAGTGCGCTGAGATGACTTCTGTTGTGACTTTGTGCTTTATAAATAAATTGAATTGAACTGAATTGAATTGCTTCAGCCTCAGCACACCTGTTTCTCATCAGCTAATCAAGCCTTACCCCGGCTGTGCCTCCTTAGTCTTTAACTTCTTTTTCGATATTTGCCTTTTGCCGAGTTCACACTTGAACTCAGTGAGTGACTATTGATTTTGTATTTTACGAGACAAGACTTATTATCTTTAGTGAGCATAACGATGACTTGTACATGTGTCATGCCTGAGTAATAAGATATCTGTTCTTATTAAAAGTTCACTGTGAACTAACTGACATTTCTACATTGATAAAACATTCACAAACAGTATTTCTGTTGACAGGATCTTTGACATTACAGAGATGCAGTCTTTTATAACTATCATTTGGGCTGATAAATGAATTAGTTTCTATATTTTATGTCATTTTTGTGTTTGGAAGGGGGAAGCCATAAATCTTTCCAAGACATTTTTGATTGCACTCCTGACTCCAAGTCATTTCATAGTGATGAATGTAGTGATCTCTAAAATGTCTTCTTTTTTTTTGAGAGAGAGAGTAAAGCATAAAAGCTCTTGCATGTTCCAGTATGAATGTCTAAAACCCAATTCACACTGCCACATATATATTTTTAATGGATATGTTCCGCTGTGTTTGCAGTCAAAAGCTGTTCATCATAAAATAATGGGGAAAAAGGTGCAATCTGACATTTTCACTTTGCTATCTAATCTAAAAAATATATTAATCTAGGAGTCACAATTTATTTATTTCTAGTTATATGTATTATAAGTGGGTAAAGCGGATGGATGGATGGACAGACGGACGGACGGATTAGGTCTCACAAACTGTAGGCTTTCAATTTGATTCTTATCCAATTGATCTTTTAATAATTAATGCCACTATTGTTAAGAGTCCAACACTTTTTTACATTATAAAACATAATTGTTGACACATATTTGTTAAAACTAGCATGAATATGCTAATGTTAACAAATATGCTGAGGTATTAACATAAACCTTAGCATATTTAAAATTTTGTTAATATCTTTGTTAATATCACAAATATGCCAAGACATTAGCACTAAACGTAGCACCTTGTTGCTTATGTTAATATCATTATCACTATTATTATGAATGTGTGGAGACATTAGCACAAGCCTTAGCATAAAAGTGCTGTTGCTAGCATATTTATAAACAGCATATGTGTACATGGATTTATGCAACATTAGCCTAAAACCAAGACTAAACCATTTTACTTAAACCAAAGCAAAGAAATAGCTAATTTAAGCCTGGTTTATACTCCATGAGAAGTGACAGAGTTGTGCCTTGCTGACATGACTGTATGACAAAAAGTGTCTCAGCTGGACAGCGTAGAAACATGTTCCAGCATCTGTCAGAAACGATAAAGGTGTTTTTATAGAACATTTGCAAAAATGTCCTTCTCTCCTTGATTCCATCAATCCATCCATCCATCCATCCATCCATTCATCCATCCATCATTTTACGCTTATTCTGAAGTTGGGTCGCAGGGGCAGCAGCTTGAGCAGGGAGGCCCAGACATCTCTTTCCACAGCCACATCTTCCAGCTCTTCTGAGATGACTCCAAGGCGTTCCCAGGCCAACCGAGAGTCACTCCAGTGTGTCCTGGGTCTTCCCTGGGGTCTCCTCCCAGTTGGACATGCCCAAAGCACCTCCCTAGGGAGGTGCCCAGTGAGCATCCTTACCAGGTGCCCGAACCACCTCAACTGCTTCCTCGATGTGGAGGAGCAGAGGTTCTACTTCGAGTCTCACCTGGAAAAATGAACTTCTCACCCTATCTTTAAGGCAGAGTCTATCTGCCTTGCAGAGGAAACTCATTTCAACCGCCTGTATCCGCGATCTCATTCTTTCAGTCACTACCCAGAGCTTGTGACCATAGGTGAGGGTAGGAACGTAGACCGACTGGTAACAGAGAGCTTTTCCTTACAGCTCAGCTCCCTCTTCACCACAACGGACCGGTACAGAGTTCACAATACTGCAGATGCTGCACCAATCTGTCTGCCAATCTCACACGCCATTCTTCCCTCACTCGTGAACAAACCCTCGAGATACTTGAACTCCTCCACTTGAGGCAGAACCGCACCCTCGACCTGAAGAGAGCAATCCACCCTTTTCCGGTTGGGGACCATGGCCTCAGATTTGGAGGTGCTGATTCTCATCCCAGCTGCTTCACAACTGTCTGCGAACCGCTCCAGTGAGAGCTGAAGATCACGGCACGATGACGCCAACAGGACCACATCATCTGCAAAGAGCAGAGATGGAATCCTGAGGCCACCGAACTGGAATCCCTCCACCCCCTGGCTGCACTGAGAAATTCCATCTATAAAAGTTATGAACAGAATCGGTGACAACAGGCCTGGCGGAGTCCAACTCCCACCCTGAAGGGGTCCGACTTACTACCGGCAATGTGAACCAAAGTCTCGCACTGCTTGTATAGGGACCGAACAGCTCGTAACAACAGGCCCCTGATTCCATACTCATGGAGCACCTCCCACATTGTACCCCAAGGAACACGGCCAAATGCCTTCTCCAAGTCCAGAAAAAATTCTTTCTTCTTGATTAACAACAGAAATACCTTATCTCCCTCCTCCAACTCCTCTGTCATCAGCAGAAAGTAAACATTCATTTTGCCAACCAGGCTGTCGCCATGTTGTTGCTGTTTGCTCATGATGCGTGCTGCAGTGGCAGGGCTTAACAGGACCTTTTCACCACACAGTTTCTCTTGGAATATAAAATGACTGTCCCATAAACACATCAGCGAGATCCGATGTCTTGCATCTTGTGAAGTATAACCAAGCCCATAAAGCCGGAATATTGTTTATTTCTTGGTGAAAAACTAGGATTTCACTGCTACATTTTACATCAAAATTAAATGTACCACATTACTTATAGAACTAATTAGACTATTGTCTGTAGGAGAATAAAAAAGATGAAAATGGTAAAGTTAAATGATGTCAGAGATTAAAAGTCAGTATATTACGTGTTCTAAGTGTAACTGTAAATGCTATTTTAGTGACGTTGAAACTTTTCACTTTTCAACATTTCGCTGTGCTTGAGTGTAAGTGCAACGTGATTATAATATACAATTTGTGTTGTTTAGAAAATATTTCAACATTGGATTCCGTTTAAAATATAAATTTTTATCTTTACAGGAAGAAGAATTACGAAAGAGCGGGGAGGCCAAATATGCCCATCTGAGTAATGATCTCCACGTTTTAATTGAAGTCTTCGCTCCACCTGGAGAGGCCTATTCTCGAATGAGTCACGCCTTGGAGGAAATTAAAAAATTCCTTGTTCCAGTGAGTTTATCATTTACCTGATTTTCTCTTCTAATTTTTACTCCAATACCATAAAAGAGCAGCAGTCATTACTGCTGACTTGATCATTTCCCCCACTAGGCTTATTAGTTTCTGCTCGGTTTGAAAAATCCGGGGTTTTGTTGACACAAAAAGAAGATATGAATGTGAAGTTTATCTGTGCTGCTCTACACAGTGTGGCCTTTGTTACAAAGGAGAAATAATGTATTCTGCAATTAAAATGCAGTATGAAACAACTTGCAAGACTCCAGCAACTTACAGCCTGAAGAACTTTGCAATAATTAGTGTGCATGTTGTGTACTCTCACCGAGTCTAAGCTGTAAATATTAATCAAGCTTTGCAAATGTGACAAGCCTAATAAAGGAGTTGTAGTGGATGAGTCTACTTTATGGAGTTCACACATTTTTCTATACGAGCCAACATTCTGTACGTGCACTGCAGGAGGAGCATGATACTGCAACTGCGCTGAGCAAAACCACAGATAAATTACTTTAACACCGAGTGCCAAAAAACAAATTGGTACAGGATCATAACCTCTTTTTTGAAAGATGTTTGGATGATATATGTAATGTGAGTTAAAACAAAATGTACAGATTTGAAAATTATTTAACTATTTAGTTGAATATTCACAAAAAGTATTTAGATGTTCAATTATAGTTTTCAACAGTTAACAGTTTCTATTATTTTGAACATTTAATTAAATATAGCAGACCTTGTTATCATGTGTTGCCATGAAAAGAAGGCAATATGTAATTGCTTGTGCTTTATTTATTTATTTATTTATTTATTTAATTTGTGTGCGTGTTTGCCTCTGAGCAAAATATATCTCGAATCACTGGATGGACTTCACTGCATTTCAACATCAACTTGATTCAAGATGACCTTAACAACAAATTTTTTAATCCTGTATTTTACCAGTAAAAAAAATCCACTGAGATTATTAATGTCTTTTACAAGGATGTCCTGGCCGACGTGCATGGTGCAAACAAGCCATTACAATCACAGCAGCAGCCTTAATAACAGGAACAGTAATAATAAAATATTTACAACAAAATCAGGTAATAAGACATAAAATACAATGCAAGTTTTAAAAAATATCACAATAAGACATTTAAACATTGCAGGTGCAAGATGTGACTAAAACCTCTGACAGTTTCTGTTTAAAACTAGATAAAGGAATAAGAGACTCCAACCTCAACTTAAGCTGCAGCTCATTCCAAGATCATGGGCTGAAATAGGACAAAGTCATCTTTCCTGACTCTGTGTGCACAAAGGGTACCTTAAACTGCAGCCAGCTGCTGGCCCTGAGACTGTGAGTGTTCTGTACTGACTTGAACTTGAAGTAGATATATGATGGTAATTTTCCTAAAATTGTGTTTTATATGAAAATATAGCAATGCTTCGAATATTGAGTAAAATAAGTCCAGCAAGTGTATATAAAGTACAATGGTGAGTCCTAAACAGTGAACCTGTTATATACCTCAGAGTAGGGCTGGACGATATGGCCAAAACTATTATCACAATATATTTTATAATTTTGGTCGATAACGATATAATTCCGATATCGATATAAACAATATAAAAGCCTCAGAAAAACTGTACAACTAAATTACTGTTCACCTTTTATATGTATTTAGCTTTCAAATAAATTTGAAATTACCATAAAATAAACATAAAACTCTCAACTTTGTCAATATTAATAGCTTTAACTTTAAACAACATCATTACCTTAACCCAGTGCTTCTCAATTATTTTCTGTTATGCCCCCCCCAGGAAGAAGTAAACATTACCCCCACCCATAACTCTCCGCCGCGACTATAAATAGTATAATTTGTCTATAAAATTGTTATAAGTACACCTCTACATAACATTGTATCCTTATTAACATTAAATTAAAATATATAGAAATATAGATCAACTTACAACAAAGATCATTGACATTGTTTTATAGTCTGTAACAGAAAAGGCTTAAAGTGCATCAATTTGCCTGAAATTAAAAAAATATATATATCCTTATTTAAACTGTCAACATTTTTGACCATTTGATACTGAACAATCAAATTAAATACAATCAATAAATAATAAAAAATTAAAATTGATCAGCAACATTTTAAGTCAGGAGTGTTATATAAAACACTTTGACCTACAAAACAAAAATGAATTCAACAATTTGCGCCGTTTTTGTTTTGTTTTGTTTGTTGTTTTCTTAATCAAAATGAGGAAGTCGGGTTTAATGGCTACAATGAGCACGTTTTTCAGTGCACAGCTTTTTGAAGCCGAGTTTGAAACATAATCCTGCAGCTCCCAGCTCCTGCTCAATGTTTAGCTCCTGCTCAATGTTTAGCTCCTGCTCAATGTTTAGTTGGACCTGGACTTTGTCTTCAGAGCAGCAGAGAAGTCACAAAGAGCTCAAGAGAGAGCAGCTGTGTGTGTGTGTGTGTGTGTGTGTGTCCTTGTTTATGCTACTTTGTGAGGCCCATTTTTC